GAGGAGCAGGCGGCGGCGGCGGCGGCAACTCGGGCCCAGCGGCCCCCGCAGACGGCTGGCGCCGCCACGGTCAGGCTCGAGCACGTCATCGACCAGGCGCTCGCGGCCGAGATCCCGGCGCGGAGCCACACCGACACACAGCCCCCACATTCCGAGCACAGGCCCCGCATGGGCGCCATGCCAGGCGAGGGCGAAGAGCCGACGCTGGACCAGTTCACGGCCGTGGGCCACTTGCTGAAGTCCAGCGTGCCACCATACGCCGATTTCGCTGTGTTTGGTCCCCATCATGTTCGGCTTCGCCGCCGGCTAAAATTCAGTGGGATGACTATCGCCCACGATGGTTACTTTCAGCCCGTGGAGCTGCACGGCCCGCCGAGCGGCCTGCGCAGATGATCGTGGAGCTCGCCACCCGGTACTCGAGGACCGCGTGGGCGATCGCCTACCCGGCGGACGTCTGGATGAGGCTCGAGCACATGCAGTCTTCGCGCCGCGACGCGCTCGAGAGGATCGCCAGCGATCCGACGGGCCCCGCCGCCCTTTGGATTCCACCAGGCCACCATCTGGGAGCGCGCCTGCGGCTGGCCCGTGGAGAAGTCGGACAGTTAAAGGATAAGGAGATGTTCGAGCCGTCAGTCCTCGCGCTGTCGCACGCGGCCCAGTGGGGGGCGACGGTGCATGGCGACGCCCAGGTCGCGGGAGACCCCCACTAACAGGTGGCGCCGTGTGTACCCGATTTTCGAGTAGGCCGAACTCCAGCCGTTTAGGACACAACCTCTCCGTCCGCTCGGTATTAAACTGTACGGCATCCAGCACGTGTGCTCTGCAGGGACGCAGAGGGACCCTCAAAGCGCACTCATTCACTCATTCACTCCCCGTCCCCGCGCACCTTTCCCCACCTTCCGATCTTCCCCTTTCCCGTCCCCTCTCCCTTTCCCGTGCACCCCCCCCCCTTCCACTCCCCCCAGGAGGAGGAGGAGGAGGAGGAGGAGGAGGAGGAGGAGGAGGAAAGAGGAGGAGGAAGGAGGAGGAGGAGGAGGAGGACGAAGAAGGAGGAGGAGAGGAGGAGGAGGAGGAGGAGGAGGAGGAGGAGGCCCTCCTTCTTCCCCGCCCCTGGGGCGCGAGCGGGCGCCCGCCCAGGCTGGGCAGGCCGCACGTGGAGGCGGCCGCCGGCTGCCCCAGCGCGCATTGGGTTGGGGGGGGGAGGGAGGGGGGGGGGGGGGGCGCGCGGGGGAAGGGGGGGCAGCGAGGAGGAGGAGGAGGAGGAGGAGGAGAGGAGGAGGGGAGGAGGAGGAGGAGGAGGAGGAGGAGGAGGATGGAGGAGGAGGAGGAGAAGGAGGAGGAGGAGGAGGAGGGAAGGAGGAGGAGGAGGAGGAGGAGGTTTGCGGAAGGAGGAGGAGGGGGGGGGGCGGAGGAGGAGGAATGCTGCAAGCCCAGATCTTGAAGTCCACTCGAGGCAAAGGAGGAGGAGGAGGAGGAGGAGGAGGAGCAGGAACAGGAGGAGGAGGAGCAGCAGGAGGAGGAGCAGGAGGAGGAGAGCTGGAGAAGGAGAGCTGGAGGACAGCGAGCGGACAGGGGTGTCGGGCGCCGCACGTGGCTCGGCGTCCTTGAGAAGAAGGTGCAGCGCGTGGCCTGTCGCGAACTGATCAAATGGGCGAACGGTCCACACGGTACCAGGAGGCTCGCTGGGGAGAGAGACGGCTCCACCTCGTCCTCTTCATTTTCTTCCTCCTCCTCCTCCTCCGCATCCTCCTCCTCCTCCCCATGGTCGACCAGCTCCGTGCGCGACGCGGTCAAGCTGATACCATGGCCTCGATACTCCCGCGACGCATTGCAGGAGGGGGAGTGGGAGAGTGGGGAAGAAGGGAGGGACGGGGAATGGCAGGTGGAGGGGGGGAGTCGGAGGGGGCACGGAGGGGAGGAGTGAAGTAGGAGGAGGGCGTGAGTAAACTCAAGATGCATCAACGTTGCTACAAAACACCCTCCCATCCCTACTTACTCCCTCACTGGCCGAAGCACCCTTGTGCACTACGGGGACGGGGAGCGCCTCTTGGACCGACGAGCGCCCCAAGGGCGTGGCATTCAGGCGAGAGCGCCGTTTTGAAAAGCACTCGCAAGCGCCAAGATGTACGCAAGATCGTGAAGCCGCCCTCCAGATGCACAACTGTTGCACCGTGCTGTACGCCTTGTCAAAGAACCTTGGGGAAGTCCGAAGCGAGATCTTAAGTTTGACCATGAGCCGTGGAAATATATAAGGTGATCGTAAAGCCACCTTGAGGCCTCAGAAGCCGATCGAGGGCGAAAGGCGAGGCAGCCGAATCAGCAACTAACAGATCAAGGAGTGTGAATGATTCAGGCCCCTTTGGGGCCTCCTTAAAAGGTTCTGTGGCCACTTGAAACCGTCGTGCGGCGGTCTTTGGGCTTCTAAGAAGCATGTTGGAGGCCGTCTGGTGGTCTTGAAAGGCCCTGAGGCCGCACGGAATGCGTCTTGGAGGTATCGTTCGTTGATAGTCCAGCTGTCTGCTGCAAACCCCGCCACCGTACCTGTGCAGCAGCGCAGCAGGAAGGAGGACGAGTGCAGGTACAGCCCAATTCTTACGAGTGTGGTCTGGAGTGGGACGGGTTGAACTCGACCTCGTCTTCGTCCGCGCGATAGTGGGAGGAGGAGGAGGAGGAGGAAAGCGAGAAAATGAGGACGAGGAGGAGAAGGCTTTTTGGGGCCCTCTTGGGGCATCCTGGGAGCCTCCTGAGGGCCTCTCATCTCAGGGCCTGTTGGGGGGCCTCCTGGGGCCTCTTGGGGTCTTGGGGCTTCATGGGCCATCTTAGGGGACTATCGGCCCGTCTGACGCCTTCGGAGGCCGTCTTGGGGGGCATCTCTGGTCTGTCTTGGCGTTTTTGGGGGCGCATCAGGGCCGTCTTGCGGCCCTCGCGGGAGCCCTGGGGCGATCTTTAGGTTCCCTGGGGGCGGATTGAGGCCCTCTTGGGGGCCTCTCGTGCTGTCTTGGAACTACATCGGCGGTCTCTTGGAGGCCTCTGGGGCCGTCTACCCCCCAGCAGGCGAGAACCTGCAAGCCCATCAAAAACCTAAGGAGCATCTTTCGTTTTTAGCTTCCTCGGGCCCTCTTGGAGCCTTCTTGGACCGTCTCTGGGCCGTCTTGAGGACCTCTTGGGGCCGTCTTGGGAGCCAGCTGAGCCGTCAAGGGCCGTTTGGGGCCGTCGTGGTGTCATCTTGGCTTTCCTGGAAGCCGTCTTGGAGGCCATCTTGGCCGTTTGGAGGCCGAAAATAAAGCCAGAAGGCAATTTGTGGGGAGCGATCACGCGCGCAGCGAGGGGGGCAGGGCGGTCTTAAAATGTCAGAAAATTTCAAAGACAATAGAAGAGCAGCCTCGCACGCCCCGACGAGCAAGGCCCGGTGGCGGATTGTGGCGGCGGCTTTTGAGGACGTGCGCGGGCGTTCCGGCATCCCGCGGCGGCCTTGCCCGTGGATGGCCCAGGACTTGCCCGGAGTCACTTCCGCCAGGGACCCCCAGGGGCCGCCGCGCGCGCGAATCTACAATTACATAATTGCTCACGGCCTCTTACCCGACATTCTGGCACGCCTCTACGTGGCCCTTGGAGGCACTGTCGTAAGCCTTCCGGCCCTGCTAAGCACGGGGTTCCTCATCCTCGGCTTCGCCGTCGTCTTCGTCGTCGTCGTCCGCCTCCTACTCTTCCTCATTGCTTAACTGCGTCAAGTCCCTCTCGTCCTCTGTCCTCCAGAGAGAACTCCTCTGAAGAAAGAGCTCTCGGGACCCCCCACTGCAGAACCCGCCACAGGCCATGGCCATGGGCTTGCCAGTCATCGCCACCAACTGGAGCGGCACTACGGAGCCTGGCCAGCCGGCCTCCTCTTGGCCACACGGCGAGCGGATTCGGCCTGCTTGATCGGCCGCCTCCATATCGTGCGCGTCTTCCTCCTCCTCCTCCTCAACCTCCTCCTCCTCATCATCATCATCATCAGCAGCATCATCACCAGCATCATTCATCATCATCATCATCATCATCATCATCATATCATCATCCATCATCATCATCATCATCATCGCCATCGCCATCATCATCATCATCATCATCATCATCATCATCATCAGCATCAGCATCAGCATCAGCATCAGCATCATCATGATCATCATCGTGATCGTCATCATCATCGTCATCATCATCATCATCATCATCATCAGCATCAGCATCAGCATCAGCATCATCGTCATTTTCATCATCATCATCATCATCATCATCATCATCATCATCATCATCATCATCATCATCATCATCATCATCATCTTCATCATCATCATCATCGTCATCGTGATCAGCATCATCATTATCATCATCCTCATCCTCATCATCATCGTCATCATCATCCTCTTCGGCCATTTTCCCCCTCCCACCTTTTCATCCTCCCTCCGAATCCGTTTCCTCCTGCCCCTCCCACCTCCCATTATCTTCGTCCCTAACCTCCTCCTCCTCCTCCTCTTCCTCTTCCTCAGCCTCCCCGTTCCACCCAGTTGAAGACCGCCTATCGCTCCGTCCTGGCGCACCGCGCCCGCACCAGAGAAGGTGGCAGTATGATTTATTGCCATCGTCCGCAGATTGCGCGACCGAGTTCATCAGACCTCTATGGCGACCAGCTTACGAAGAGTCGAAGCGCAGCCGAATTAAAGGAAACGACGAGAGGCCCTCGGCAAAAAGCTTTGTGACCCATAGATGCCGCTCGCTTGATTCGGCTGGAGAGCACAATCCGTTGCCTGTATGAAGCGCTTGTTTTACAAAGTTTATATGATTCGTCCACTTCTCGAATGAGCAATCATTTGCAATCCACTTTCAGATGTAGATTCCTTCCTCTGCTGTATGCCTTTTTGCAGGTTCCAGCTTTCCTCTCAACCCTGCCTCCCGAAAGGGATGGTGATAGCAATGCGTAGCGATACAGTTAAAGCTGGCCTGGCGGCCCTGCTGCCCCATGTCGAGGTAGACGCAGCAAACACTGTTGGTTGCTCTCTGCAAGGTGAAGCTCAGAAGTGTGGCGCTGTCCAGCCCGGTCCTTCAAGCCTGCTAGGAGTAGACCAGTGTCCTCTATTTATCCTCCCCACGTGTCAGGTATTAACTTGAGTACCTGGAGTCCTGGAGTAGGTACCACTGCTCGCCGACGCGGTTCAGCGGAAGACCAGGCGTTCCGTCGAGAGGTTTTGGACCACAATTTTGTTAAAGGAAGTGATTATTACACAGGATTCGCCACTTGCTCTCTTGCGGTTTTTCTCTCTCTCTCTCTCTCTCTCTGTCCCGTTTCTCTCTTTGTTATATCCTTCTCTTTTTACCTCTCTATCTATATATACATATAACGGCGCACCGGGTCCGGGGGCCCGGGGCCGGGACCCCGACCACAACTGTGGGCCCCGGGGGGCCCGGAGGCTCGTCGGACCGCCGGACGCCGTCCAAGATCGTTCGCAGGCGGCTTCGGAACGCGCTCCGATGGCTCCAGATGCCTTCCAAGACGCCTGTCATGACACCAAGAAGGTCCCAGAAGCCTCCAAGACGCTCCGAGAGGCAGCCCAAGAGAGGCCCAAGAAGCAAAAATCGTGCCATTCCTATGGGAAAACGTATATTTTTCGCATGTTCGCCTCTTGGGCTTTCACCGCGTCCAAGACGGCCCAAGAAGCTTCCAAGAGGGCCCCAGGACAGCCCAAGAGGGCCCCAAGACGGCCCAAGAGGCGCCCAAGATGGCCCAAGAGGGCCCCAAGACGGGCCCAAGAGGGGGCCCAGAGGGGGACCACGAACCGCAAGCTCGAGCCTTCCGCCCCAAGAGGCCGCCAGGAGGCCCCAAGGAGGCCCCTCAAGAGGCCCCAGGAGACCCCCAAGAGGCCCAAAGGAGGCCCCGAGAAGCCCCAAATCGGCCCCCAAAATGCTTCGAACCTGCTTCCAGGAGGCCCCCGACAGGTTCAAAGGCTCCCGAGAAGCTACGTCAAACTCCCAGCGAGCGGCCGGACGAGGCCCCCCACAAAATCACAAGAGGGTTCCAGTATTTGTATCCTTCAGCGCTCTCTGGCCTTCTTCCCCCTGCCCCCTTCCCTGCGACTTTCGTTGACTCAAGCTCGCCTCCTAGCTAGAACCTAAGCGCGCGCGAAGCGCGCGCGTGGTTCTAGTATGTATATGTGCACGTCTGCTTGCGAATCCACCTCACGTGCATCACCGCGAGGCCTCGGCCGTCCGTGCGCCTTCCCCAGTCCTGGCGCTTGCGGGTCGCACTTCGCCCCCCCCGTGGAGGCCCCCTCCGTGCGTGCCTGCGGAGCCCGGCTCTCCCGCGTGGGCGAGCCCTTGCGCGCCCTGCCGGGGCAGCTGCGCGAGGCCGCGGCGCGCGCGCGCTCTGCTTGGGCTCCGCACGCTCCAGCCCGACGTCGACCGCGTCGCTGTGCGCACGGCCGCGAGTCCAAAGCGTGCGTGGATCCACGTCCGCTTCCTCCACCTCGTCAGCCCCCTTTCCCTCGCACTCCTCGTCCTCTCCTGGCCATCCTCACCCATGTTCTTTCCCCCCCTGTCTCCTCCGCCTTCCTGATGCTGCTGGTCCTCGTCTTCCTCCATCGATCCATCCTCTCTGTGCTCCTTCTCTTCACGTTTCTCCTCCGCACCTTCCGCAACTTCCGCAATTCCTCCGCCTTCTCTGCCTTTCCCGCCTCATCCGCTTCCTCCTGCTACTGGTCATCCTCCTCCTCCTCCTCCTCCTCCTCCTCCTCCTCCTCCTCCTCCTCCTCTCCTCCTCCTCCTCCCCCTCCCCCTCCTCCCACCCTCCTCCTCCTCCTCCTCCTCCTCCTCCTCCTCCTCCTCCTCCTCCTCCTCCTCCTCCTCCTCCTTCTCCTCCTCCTCCTCCTTCCCTCCTCCTCAATCCCCGTCTCCACCTCCCCTCCCTCCCTCCCCGCCTCCCCCCCATCGTCTCTGCCTCCCCCCCTCCCCACCCCCCCCTCCCCTTTCCCCTCCCGCTCCCCACCCGCCCCCGCCCCGCCCCCTCCCGTCGGACTCCCCGCGCCTGTCTGGCGCCGTGGCTCGCGAGGAGTTCCTGCGCGACGGCTCGTCGCTGCCGCTGCGCATCGACGGGCTGCGCGAGGCGCCCGGCCGCTGTTCCGCGTTGGGTGCCCGCCCTGACCAGCCGGGGGCTCGCAGAGTGGAGGACCGGAGGACGGGGAAGAAGAAGAAGAAGAACAAGAAGAAGAAGAAGAAGTGGTCTTCCTGTTGCTGCGCCTCGTCCCCCGTGCTCATTTGCCTCCTTTTTCTCCTCGTCTTCATCGTCACGACCATCATCAGCATCATCATCAGTAGCATCAGAATCGTCATCGTCATCATCATCGTCGTCATCATCATCATCGTCATCATCATAACCATCATCAGCATCATCATCATCATCATCATCATCATCATCATCATCATCGTCGTCATCATCATGATCATCACCAGCATCAGCATCAGCATCAGCAGCATCATCAGCATCACCATCATCAGCAGCAGCATCATCAGCAGCAGTGGCACCATCAGCATGTTCATTAACATTATGATAATCAGCATCGTCATCATCAGCAGCAGCATTATGGAGATCACCATCACCGCCACCATCATCATCATCATCATCATCATCATCTTCATCAACATGATCTTCATCTTGCTCCTCCTCCCCATCACCCTCGTCAGTACCATCAACACAATCATCCGCATCACCAGCATCATCAGCATTACCACCTCATCCTCCTCATCATCAGCATTATCAGTAGCATCATCAGCATCCACAAGCATCATCTTCAGCATCATCATCAGCATTAGCATCAGCATCAGCACCACCGCAAATCATCAGGGTCATCAACAACACCATGGTCTTCATCAGATCTTATAATATATGCAGGGCTCCCCCGTCATCCTCATCCTCATTCTCGTGTTCATCCTCCTCCGCCGCCCCCAAGGCATGTCCCTTGGGAGGCCTCTCGGAGCCGCTGGGGACCATGAGTAGGTCCAGCGAGTCCCGTGGGAAGTCCCAGGAGGCACTGGACCCACCGTGGCTCCCCAAAACCTCCCGGCCCTCTGGCCAGCCGCACAGCCAGAACAGCAGCGGCCGCCGCCATCGGCACTGCCATTTTCGCTCGGCTTGTGGCCCTGTTGCGAGGGCGGCGCTCGCGGAACCTGTCTCACCAGCGCGACGGGAGACGCCGCCAGGCGCCTGAATGCTGAGTTCTCAAGTCTCATGGTGCCAACATCGCGGAGCGGATTCGTTCGGAAAACGATAGGGTGAGCCCGGAGTGTCCTGGAGGATTTCGTTCCGGATTTCGAGGTGAATTTCGTGCGGTTTTTTTCCGGTCAGAAATGAAGACCAACAAAACATCCACGCGAAATTCACTTCGTTTTTCGCTCGCCTGTTCGGGCAAAAAATCCACGCAGAAATCTGCTGCAGCACGTCTGCAAGGCCGGTGCAATGACAAGTCTCACTCGGTCTGCCCAGGCGCGCCATCGCGCGCCGTCAGGGGGCCCAGCCCGCTTGCCGGTCAGCAGACCGCTCGCTCGCTCGCCCGAGCTGCAATCACGCAGGTCTGTGGCTGAAGACCAAGCAAGTAGGCCTACCAAACAATGTTCTAAGAACCTTTTGTAGTCTGCACGAAATGTGTTTCGAACATTTCTGGCTGGGACTGTCTTGTTTTAGCACATCGGGTTTATGTTCTAAGAACATGGTCTGTGTCCTTAAACCATTTGTAGGTTCTAAGAACATTTCGTGGTAGGCTTATAGAAGTGCCGGGACGGTCGGTCCCTGCTCAAGAGCTGCAATCACGCAGGTCTGTGGCTGAAGAAGAGGAAGGAGGAGCGAGGGAGGGAGGGATGGAGGGAGGAGGGAGGGAACGATGCATGGAGCAATTATGGGAGGGCGGCCCAGCGACGAGGCAGCCAGCCTCGCCCGATGTTGCCGCGCGGGCCTGGAGGCTGTCCAGCGCTCCAGGCTGATGGCCATCCTTGGGCGACAGATCGGCACAAGCCGGAAACGTGCAAGGGGGGTACTGTGGCAAACGCTGCTGAGTGCACTGCGGCGTTCTGGCGCCCACCTGGGCCTCTGCTCCTGGCGCAGCTACCGCGCCACTGCGCCAGTGCGAATACCAGTGCCAGGATCGCTGCCAGTGACCAGGAGCACCGCTTCTCCCAGTAGGCTACCACCAGCAACCACCACGACGAGCACCACCACTACTACTGCCACTGCCACTGCCGCGGCAATCGCTGTTTGACTCCCGACGTCCAACGCCACTTCCCGCAGCCGCCGCCCTCGCTCGACTCTCCCTCTCGCTGGCCGCCTGCCCGTGGTGGCCCGCTCCCGGTTCCTACCCCTCCCCTGCTGCTCTTGCCCGGCCGCCTCAGCCCAAGGACCTGCAGGCGGGGCGTTGGCAGACAAGGGGGGACCGGCGCCATGGGCAAAGCCCGCAGAAGCTCGCTGAGCCCAATGTTTCCATGCCCCGACCTCTTACATTCTCGCTGGGTTGACACCGGGCAGCAATTTTCACCACTGAGCGCACCCCCATAGCTTCTGCCCCGGTCACCGCCCCACCGTCTGCAAGTTCTCGGTCAGCCTCGGCGCCGTTGCTCGGCCCGGCGCGCCTCCGGGGTCCAAAAGACGGTGCCCCCCAGTCCAAAGGCGAGGGAGGGCCAGGCGGAAGCGAAGACCGCAGCCCCAAACGCCCATGGCCTTCCCACGCGCGGAGAGGGACTGGGAGCTGTCGGGCTGCCCCAGGGCTGAAGGAGGAGCATGGACGGGTTACGAGAAGAAAACGAAAGGGATGCAGGATGAGACGGAGGAGAAGGAGAGCATATCTCGCCCAGAGCAAGTTGCAATCGAAGCGTGCGGGGCGCTCAACCAACTCGAGCTCAAGATCCAATTCAGAAGGAGGAGGAGGAGGAGGAGGAGAAGGAACAAGAGGAGGAGGAGGAGGAGGAGGAGGAGGAGGAGGAGGAGGAACAAGAGGAGAAGGAGGAGGAGGAGGATGCGTGCGGGTGGGCCTGGTGGCGGAGGAAAGGGAGGAGGGAGGGAGGGCTGGAAGGTCAGAGGGAAGGATGGGGGAGGGAGGGAGGGAGGAGTCAACGCACAGAAGGGGGGTGGGAGTCGGCCGCGCACACAGAGGGGTTAGGGGGAGGGGGGGAAGGCTTCTTAGAAGCACCCTCCCACTAAGAAACCTTCCCCCCTCCCCCATACCCCGTTAGCGCGCGCCGCCAAAGGAAGGACGAAGGAGGAGGAGAAGGAGGAGGAGGAGGAGGAGGAGGGAGGAGGAGGGAGGCGGAGGAGGAGGAGGGAGGAGGAGGAGGAGGGAGAAGCACAAGGAGGAGTTGGAGGGAGGAGGACGTAGGAGAGCCAGGGTGCGCCCGGATGCATTTTCGGCCGATGCTGCTGCTGCCTGGCCACTGCCCCGGCCAGGCAGCCAGCGACGGCTGGCGCCCTCGCGCGTCACCATTCCTCCTCGTCCTGCCCCTCTTACCCCACCGCTCCTCCTCCTCCTCCTCCTCCTCTCCTCCCTCCTCCTGGTCACCATCACGCTCATTCTCCCGCTCGTTGAGCTCCTCCTCCTCCTCTCCTCCTCCTCCTCTCCTCCTCCTCCTCCTCCTCTCCTCCCTGGTCACCATCGTGGTCCTGGTCAGCATCGTGCTCATTCTCCTCCTCCTCCTCCTCCTCCTCCTCCTCGTCCTCCTCCTCCTCCTCCTCCTCCTCCTCCTCCTCCTCCTCCTGGTCACCATCGTGCTCATTCTCCCGCTCGGCCGAGCTCCTCCTCGCTCCTCCTCTCGCGCCCCCAGGTGGCCAAGGGGAATGGGCCCGAGGGCCACAGGCCCCCCCCGCGCACCGGGACCGCCGCCGCGCCGCGGCGGGACGAGAACGAGGGACGGCGGAGGCGGACGAAGAGAGGCTGGACGAAGACGAGGGTGGGAGGCAGGAGCGAGGCTGGACGAAGGAGGAGCGAAGATGGACAATGGAGGGTGGAGGGAGGAGGAGGAGAAGGAGGAGAAGGAGGACAACGAAGAGGGACAACGAAGGAGGAGGATGAGGAGGAGGAGGAGGATCCAGGAGGGATGCGGAGGAGAGCGGGGTGGAGGTGCAGAGGGAGCAGGAGGAGAGAGGCGAGGACGTCCAGGCCATTGTGGCTTGAGCGTACCCGGCTGCTGCGGCAAGGCCATCGCACCCTGATGGCACGCGGGCGGCCATTCGGGCTTGGCCGGCTGCCATCGTGCCTTCTCTGGCCCAGTGGCTGCGAAGCCAGGCCCGCCAACGCCTCGGCGAGAGCTGGGCGTGGGCGATGTCGACGCGGGGGCACGCCGCGTTTCTGGGGGTCGCCCCCGAGGCCGCGCGGCAGTCGAAGCACGCATCCGCCAGGCTGAGGCGGACGCACGCAGTCGAGCAGTCGAGGATGGTGACGACTTGGAGTACTCGAGTGGAGCCTTGCACACCTGCAGGGTCGCAACCTCTTCATCATCCTCCTGGTCCTCCTCCGCCATGCTCACCGTAGCCGTGCCTGTTGAAACCGTTTAGGTTCAAGGCCGAAATGGGGGTGCACATTGTTTAGATTGCATGCGGGTTGCATCAACGTCGGCGTGTCGTGTTTTCATCGTGTGCGGCACACCATCCGCGTGACGCACCCACCACCAAAATTAAGGTGAGCTGCACCTTCAGAAGCACCCTGAGTCGCCCCTAGTTCCCAGGGCGCTGAGTGAATTAGTGTCTCCCTTGTCTCGCACCATGGCGCCACGGCGCCCGCCTGCAGCGCCTCCGCCAGCGTGCACTTTCAGGTCTGACGCCGATTCCTGTGAGCAACTCGTCAACGGGGACCTCGGATTCATTCGCGCGGGTGACCATACCCTTCCACGCTATACCGAGATACCGAGCTGCTAGCCCAGTCGGTCGGCCCGCCAGGCGACGTGGAGGTTGTGATGCGCGGCTACCGCATGGCCACTGATGTTTCTGTTTGGCGTATCCCGAAGGCCGAGATGGGAACCTTGCGTAATTCCGAAACGATGCTTGACGTGTCGGCCGACATGGGCACGCCGCCGTCGGCGAGCGCTCTCGCCTTGATGTGCGCCACCAGGCTGCGGGCGAGCGCGGCCGCAGGGATCTGAGCTGCAGCCCCCGAGCTCACCCAACCAGGCCACAGATACTGACCTCAACGCGATGCAAGTCAAGCTCGCGATCACGTTCGAACAGGACTCCGCCCAGATCGACTCCACAGGCGACAAGCCTAGGTGGGATATGCTTACCATTTGGACGTAGGACACGCTAACTTTCTGCACGCAACGGCCTTGGTCGAGACCCGGGCGGGGAAGCCCGCGGAAAGGAATGGAAGGAACACAACGGTTGTGATTGTCATGGTGGAGTTGGCCCCGCGCGTGGCGATGAATTCGTCGATCTGCTCTCACCCGCGGTTCCGCACGCCGCATGGATTTAGGCCTTCATGCCCGCACTGAGCGACCTTGAGCCATTATCCAAACACGACTCCGCGAGCGCATGACGCAAAATCCCGAACACCTCAATACGGTCGATGACTAACGACACGAATTAAGTTGAGTTACTTGCGCCCCCCGTCCGAACCTGCACGCATGCAGGTACGGAGTGTTTTCGGACCTGCACTCATGCAGGTTCGGATTGATTTCTTTTCGCCGTTTTCGACCTCATCCTCGCCGCCATCACCGCCATCAGCGTCATCATCGTTAGCGTCATCGCGAATATCATCGTCATCATCGCCATCGTCATCCACATCGCCATCATATTCAATCGCGTCGAAGCTATTGCGCCTTCATCGTCAGTATGATCGTCCCCATCATCAGATCCTTTTTATCCCCTCATCGACATTACCACCCAGACGATTACACTGCTTCGCGCGATCCCGGTTCGTCAGCCTCTCATCCCCTTCATGGCCAAAGCTTTCAGCCAGGCGTCGTGTCCTGTCACGCCGCCGCCACGGTTTAACAAGTTCGGTCTTCAATCGGTGAGGAATAAAGCGCGGCGGCACGTGGTGTACCGCGCCTTGCGGCCAGGCTGTCAGTACCTTCTCGGGCAGTTACTTGAAGTTATGCGGCACGCCGAGCACAGCGACTCTTTGCGTCGCGCTGCGATGCGATCGGTGGCGTCTGGGAGTCAGGAGCTTTCGCCATTCTTACATACGTTTTGGTCGCTCTATTATGCGGGGAGCTGGCACGAGCTTGCGTGACAGGCTCGGTCTGATGACACCACCAAGCAGCACATGGTCGCCATTGACTTGTGGGAGCGGTGCCAGTTCTGTCACGTACATGGCGAACCAACGGGAGAACACTACGTCATCGATATGCCGACCGAGAAGGCGTTGATCCAGTTTTTCACAAAGGGTGCCCCTGGCGATTACACGTTTGCAGACGACATGTTCGATGCGGAAGCTAACTGGTCCTGTTCAAACGGTGGACAACACTGCCCAGAGGTTCTTTTCAATTGGAGGAGGCGGCCCCCTTTTGTGGGTCTTCCCCGTCGTCGACGCTCACAGCGGAGAAGCAGTCGAAACTCTGCCCAGCCTTCTCAGGCAACAGGTTCCACGCGTGCTTGAGTCAACGTTTCTGAGCAACGAGCGCTTTGTGCAGCAGCATCGGCACGACCTTCAAAATTCGGGGCAGCGGGGCGCAGCGCGCAATATCGGCCGAAATGTCAATGATGTCGAACACCGCGACAAAAAACAACCAGAAGGCTTTCAGCCCTCAGATTCGCCTGCGCCGGCCTCGCGCGCGCCGCCGTGGGGGCGGCCGCACGCGAGCTGAGGCTCGCGAGCGCGCGGGGGCCCGAGGCACCGCCCGCCCCCGTGCGAGGCGCGGGAGGCGCCGCCGCCGCGCCGGCCCCAGGCGCCGCGGAAGGTGCCGCCGCCTGAGGCGCTGTTCGACCCTGTGGCGCGCGTCATATTGGTCGACGCGCACGGGCCCACGGCGCCGCCGCCAGCGTGAGACGCAGACGCAGAGGCAGCGGGTGTTTTGCGGAGGCTTTCGGCCGAGCGGCGGCGCGGCCACCGGCGGCAGCAGCTGCAGAGGCCCCGTCGCCGAAGTGGGAGCGGCGGCGAAGGCGTCCAGCCAGGTGCCAGAGGCTTTCAGACGAAGCCTTTCAGATTGAGGATTTCAGTTCAGTGGCAGCGCGATGCTTTCAACGCTGACAGCAAAAAAGCATCATCAGCATCATCATCAACACCGTCACCACCTGAACTACCACCAGCAGCATCACCACCATCATTACGTTCTTGCTCATCGTCACCATCATCACCACCGTCGCCGTCGCCATCACCACCATCGTGGGGCGAATCACGGCGAACAGAAACCACCCTGAACCTGCGTGCGTGCAGGTTGCGAAAACGTTCGGAACCTGCATGCATGCAGATTCAAATTCGTTCGAGCGAGGTTCAACTTAGTTGGATTGGCTCGCCATCTGCAATATTAGTTTTAAGCCGCAACAATGACGTGCACACGACCGACACCGAAGTAAAACGGTCCTTGCGCGACAACGGGACGCAGAGATATTGCAGACCTCGAGGCGTCCTGCGCCGCATGGGACGCGGATCGAGCGCTTGACGATGTGGGCTGCGGGTGCGCTCAGCGGTGGCCCGCGCGGGCAGCTATATTACATCCCAGATCTTGAAATAGGGGCCTCTTTGAACTCGAGAGGGGCTCTGGCTTTCGGGCCGCTCCGTGGGTCTAGGTCGGGAATCCGGTTCACAGCCGAAGCTCGCCGTGGCCAGAAAAACCAAGTCGTTCTTTGGTCAGCGTTCTTTCTGGTGGCACGACTGCTGCGTTCGAGCGCGATTCCCGCTGTCTTCGGCCATTGCGAAGCCCCCCATCGCAGTTGGTGAGCGCACCCTCCGAACGCGGTGCCTCCTCCATTCTTGTCCCAGCCTGCTGATGTCTCCCTACCTCTGGTGTCTCGCACAGACTCCGCCTCCGATGCCCCCCTTGTCATCATGGGCGATGGGGGGGGGTGAGCTGGAGGAAAAACAGCAGCAGCAGGAGACTGGCTAAGAGGCGGGCCTGGCTAGCTACTTGCTGGGTCTAAGCATGTGGCCGCTAAGCCTCGATGCGATGTTCGGCAATATCCCGTTCTGGAGGTTGGTCATTGGGGGGGGCCGCTTGTGGTGTCCTGCGCTTGCTCATTCCCCTTGGTGCGCCCGTGTGTGGGTACGATATGCGCGTGTGTTTCTGTGACGGTGTGTCTCTGCGACGGTGTGTGTCTCTGTGACGGTGACGATGTGTGTCTATGTGACGGTGTGTGTGTGTGCGTGTGTGTGTGTGTGTTTGCGTTTGCTTGTTATTGTGTTTGTGCTTGTGCTTGTGCTTGTGTGTGTTTGTGTTTGTGCTTGTGTTGTTGCTTGTGTTTGTGCTTGTGAACATGTTTGTGCGTGTGCTTGTGTTTGTGCTTGTGCGTGTGATTGTGCTCGTGTTCGTGACTGTGTTTGTACTTGTGTGTTTGTGATTGTGCTTATGCTTGTGTTTGTGCTTGAGCGTGCGATTGTGATTGTGCTTGTGCTTGTGCTTGCGCTTGTGCGTGTGTTGGTGTTCGTGTGTGTGTGCGTGTTTGTGTGCATCGGTGTGTGTGTGTGTCGGATTGTGCGTGTCGGTGTGTGTGTGTGTCGGTGTGTGTCGGTGTGTGTGTGCCGGTGTTTGTGCGTGTGTGTGTGTGTGTGTTGGCGTGCGTGTGTGTGTGTGTCTCGTTGTGTGTCTGTGTTGGTGTGTGTCGGTGTCTGTCGGGATGTGTGTCGGTGTGTGTCAGTGTGTGTCGGTGTGTGTGTCGATATGTCTGTGTGTCGGTGTGTATGTCGGTGTGTTTCGGTGTGTGTCGGGGTGTGTGTGTGTGTGTGTGTCGGTTTGTGTCGGTGTGTGTGTGTGGGTGTGTGTGCGTGTTTGTGTTTGTGTGTTTCTGTGTGTGTGTCCCCCTTTTCCGCCGGAGCAGTCGCCCTTTGCCCAGCCGCCGACGCAAAAAAAGGTTGGGTTTGTGTTCGTTCGTGTGTTTGTGCTTTGTGTTTGTGCGTGTGTTTGTGTTTGTTTTTGTGTTCGTGTGTATGTAGGTGTGTGCGCGTGCTGCTGTTATGAGCATGGGTGCCAAGCGAGCTCGGGATGGCGCCTATCGGACAAACCTATGTGCAGGCGCGCATGACGATATTAGGACGAGGAGGACGGGGAGCAGCAGGGCGAGTAATAAGACAAAGGGTGAGAAGCACGCGGAAAGGGCCAGAGGGAGGAAGGAGGGTTGAGGAAATTGGAGATGGAGGCGGGAAGGAGAGGCGCCAATTCTGTTTGAAATGTTAGAGGGGATGTTCGATTTCTGGTTGTAGCAGGTATGACGGCATGAGTTGATGGGACATGCACCATGGTCGAACGTGTTATTCGTATTGTGCGCGACGGCTGCAGTGCGTCAGCGCGCATGCGATCATGCGAAGTACATGCTGTTGGCCATCCTACTTGTAGAACGTGGGCGACGGCCCGACGTGCTGCCACTGTGCTGACCCGGTCGTCGCATTATTGTGTTCCCGCATGTGTTGAATAACGTGTGTGCGTGTGTGCCAGGAATGTCTCCAAGAAATTGTATACACTTCTCGATTTGTGCGTGTCATCTTTGCGCAGGGGCCATGCTAATCTTCTCTGTATCGCTCCAATTTTTAGCGAGTCAAAAAAAACAACAAAAACAAAAAAAACAAAAAGCCAGACATGTCTCCAAGCTCTGCAAAGTTGTGGCGCGCGCTTCGGGGCGATAAGTCATTGAACTGGTGGGCACTGCGCAGGTGGGCACAGCCTTCGACGTCGCACTTGAGGTCCCCCTCTTTGGGTGGGCGGCGCAATGCGAGGCAACGAGATCGCATAAGGGCTTCATGCCGTTTGCGTTCTCTGCGACATGGTCTACGAGTCTGCATAGAAAGTCTTTGAACGCGGGAGCAGAAGAAAGACTCGGGAGTAGTCAGAGAGGGGCTCGGATATGTAGGAGGTGGGGAAAATTGAGCAGAAAGAGAATTAAGTGGAGAAGGAGAGCGGAGGAAGAGGAGGCGGACGAGGAGGAGGAGGAGGAGCAGAAGGAAATACAGCCAATGACCATGAGGAGGACAGGAAGGACAAGGAGGATAAGGAAGACGAGAGGAGAAGATGGAGGAGCAGGACGACGAGGCGAAGGTGGAGGAGAGCAGGAGGAATGAGACAAGAGGAGCATACAACATATGCTAAGAAGGCGGGCTAAGAGGAGGAGTAGGAGGAGGAGGAGGAGTAGGAGGAGGAGGAGGTGGACTGACCGGGAGGAGCGGGAGCAGCAGTGGAAGAAAATAGTGGGTAAGATGAGGGGGAAGTGAAAGGCGACGGGGAGGATGAGGAGGATCAGCAGGATAAGAGGAGGAGGAGGCCACTCATGATGAGGACAAGCATAAGGGAAGGCATGACGAAGGGGGAGGAGGAAGAAGGGAGGACGGACGAGGTTTGACGAGGAGGAGGGGGGAGGAGCCGGACGACGACGACGACGACGACGACGAGGACGACGAAGACGAATGCGCAGAATAGGAGGAGGAAGAGATAGGAATACGAATGAGGATCAGCAACAACAGTTGCAGCAGCAGGGCGAGGATGCGGATGCGGAGCAGGAGGGCGCATTACGGCATGCGGTTCGAAGCCTGAGGCCCGGAAGACAAAATGTTAACCAGCGAAAGCCTCCACGAGCCCGCGGGCGAAGTGCGCCCGACCCGGACATCGGGAGAGACCCGCCGCGCAAATATCTTCGCGCCCCCCGGGCGGGGAGGGAGAAGGGGGGAAAGCACAGGAGGAGACGAAGGGAAAACGCGCGGGGGGCTTGGGCAGCAGCGGCAACAGCAGCCACCTGGTTAGCTTCGCTCGCGCCTCAAGGAGAGCTCGCACAACGAAGACTCGGGGAGACTCGATAGCAACCCGGCACCACTACGAGCTGCCTCCCGGGTGTCCGCCACGGCCAGCAGCACTCGAGACCCACAGGCACGGCCACCAAAAACATGCAACGCGGCCAGGCCTGAGGAGGAAGAGGAGGAGGAGGAGGAGGAGGAGGAGGAGGAGGAGGAGGAGGAGGAGGAGGAGGAGGGGGAGGAGGAACTCCTGCAGCTCTTCCTGAATACGCGGGGTCACCGGGTCGGCCGCATCCGCGGCCGAGGCGAATGTAGGGATTACGCGGCACCATGCGTCGTCTTCGGATGACCTGTACGAGGGGCTTGTCGCCAACGAGCGAGCTTACGAAAAGCGTCCGAAGCGTGTCATCTCGATTCGACCGTAGGAGCAGGGTTTCGCACCGTCACCCGCTGCCGCTGCCAGGCTCCTTGGAGTGGCCATCGGCAGGGACCGCAAAGGTCGACGGGCTGCAGCTGTCGCCCATAGGATCACCCCTACGGCACAACTGTGGATTGAGGCAACGACTCGGTGACGAGTGGAAACATCGTACAAATCCTTTCTGCGTGGTTGCTGGACGGGCTCTGTGGGTGCCAGCCACTGCGGCGCTTAGGCAGTTGCGGGCTTTCTGTCGATTATCGCTCTGGCGGGTTTTGACAGCGGGGGAGTGGGGGCACCGCGTTTCCCACCCAGCGCTGCTGGAGCTGCTACTGCTTTTTTTGTCCCAGGCTGCCGCTCGACGCGATAAACTTACACGCGGCACAGCATATGTATACATGTGTCGAGTAGCCAGTTCACTTTGTGGGACCATTCCAGAGTTAGTTGTTCCACCAACCAGCGTGGGAGGAGGAGGAGGAACAGTTGGACTCACTGCCACAATGGCGGCACGTGGCTTGGCGACCAGCTGCCTACCTCCTCGCCTGGGGCGGGATCCTGGAGGCGTCGCACAATAGCCCGCGCGTTTTCCCTATGGAGGGAACATGAGAATCGCTGGGCTATTCGCAAGCTCTTCACCTCCGCCTGCTCTCGCCAGTAGGCGCTCACGTTCTGGGCAGCGCATCTGCGCGCAGACCCGATGTGCATGCGAAGTCCAGAGCAGCAGGTGTCCCGCCCAGAGCTCGAGCAGGTGCCCCGCCTGCGGCGACGAGGAGGACGAGGAAGATTGGATAACGAGGAGAGGAGAAGAGGCCAGAATCAGAATGAATCCAAGACGTCGCTGTCGCTGCAACATGCCCTCCCGCCCAAAGCTTACTCCTCACAGGATAACACAGGGGGTCGCTTTCACTACGTGCGCCTGCGATGGGGGAAGGAGAGGACGAGCGGGCAGGAGAAAGGAATGGAAGGGAGGACGGGGGCTGGAAGGGGGTGGGGGGATGAGGGAGAGCAGGAGGAGGAGGGGGGAGGAGGAAGGGAGGAGGGGAGCAGCAGGAAGCAGGCAGGGGAGGAGCGGGAGCCAAGCAGGGTCGCAACCAGATCGTCTCCTCTCCCAGCAGTGCGGGCAGGTCGCTGATGCGCTGGTGCGCCGAACACCCCTCGGAGGCCACCTCCGGCGCGGCTGGCTGGGACGGGCGGAGATGGCCTCGGGGAGGCCCAGAGCGCGAGGGAAGGGAGAGGGGGGGAGGGGGAGGAGGAGGAAGGAGGAGAGAGGAAGGGGGAAGTGGAGAGGGAGGAGCAAGGAGGGGGGAGGGGGGAGGGAGGAGCAGGGAGGGGTGACGATGGGCCTGGTGCCACCGCCTCTCTTGCGGCGTGACGAAGTGATCGCAACGGCATCTGCTCGAAGTTGCTCTGCAACAGGTAGGCGACTCGAACTGGCTTCGCGCGGTCGGAATCTCATCGCTCGGGCCACTGCACTTCGCAGACCTGATTTGCGAACGTTCTTCATTGTCCAACATCCGAGTTTGTATTCCTGTATTCCCTTCCTCTCTTTCACCCCCGCCCCCATGCCCGGGGCAACCAGGCCAGAGCCGTGGGCAGCCGGGCGCGCGAGGAGATGGTCAAGCACTTCAGCCCCGAGGCGGGGTGGGCCGTCCCCAGTTTCCTGCTTCATCCTCCTTATCAACAGCGTCCCCATCATCCATCTCATCCCCCTCCACGTTTGTTTTCCTCTTCCTCATCCTCCTCGTGTTTCTCCTCCTCCCCTTTCTCCTCTTCCTCTTCCTCTTCCCCCTCCTTCTCCTCCTCCTCCTCCTCCTCCTCCTCCTCCTCCTCCTCCTCATCATCATCATCATCATCATCATCGTCCTTTTCCTCCTCCTCCTTCTCCTCTTCCTCCCTGGTGAACGCTGTGCCTCTTCCTCATCCTCCTCCTCTTCCTTTTCCTCCTCCTCATATTCATCCTTATCGTCGTCCGTCCTCATCGCTCATAATCATCGGCAGCAGCGCCATCCTCCCCTTCCTCTCGCCTTTCCCGCTCTGTCGAACCATAGGCCTGTCCTCCCTCCTCGGGGCGTTCCCCTGCGCCTGTCCCTGCCGCTTGCGGGTGGGGCTGGCGAAGGTGACGTTCCCACACCCTCGCCATTCTCCTGGGCCGTTGCTGCTTATCCCTGAGCTTCTCGACACGCTTGACCTCTGGCCATCTTAATTCTGCGCTTGAGGTGCGCCAGTAGTGCTGCTGAGAACATGAGGCAACCCAAGTTTCGTATTCCTTGTCCGCCTTAACATGGGCAGTTGACGAGCGAATGTTCTTGCATGCATCCTTGTCCCCCTCTTACTCCTCCAAGTCTTCCTCCCGCTTCATCTTCAGCACCTTCCTCATGTTTCTTCCTTCATCCGCCTCAGCGCATGCCTCGGCCAAGGCAGTTTTGATGAATTGGATCGGTGTGGCGCGCTATCGAGCTGCTGCCGTTCAAGCGGAAAATCATTAGACGGGCCATACAATATGGCGCCACGCCTCAATCCTGAGTTATTATTACAAGTATTACACGTCTCCTTCATTGCCCTCCTCGTCATCGGCCTGTTGGACTCCCCCACCTCCACGTCTATCCTCAGCACCGTCCGCATCCTCATCATCCAGATCCTCCTTCCCGTCGTCTTCTTGATCATTCTGCCTCATCTCCCTCACTCATCCCGTTTCTCACCTCTAGTATAGTATCTTCTTCTCCTCAGTCCCCTCTGATCTGTCACTACATCCCCATCCCTCCGTTTTGTTTCTCTATTTCTCACTCTCTTCCTCTATCTCGTCCTTGCTCTCGCATCCCTCTTCCTTCTCCTCCTCCTCCTCCTTCTCCTCCTCCTCCTACTCCTCCTCCTCCTCCTCTCAGCAACCATCATTAACATCATTGTCGTAGTCGTCGTCGTTGTCCTTCTCCTCTGCTTCTCCTCTCCCTTGTCCTCCGCATTAACCGTCGCATCATCCCCATCGTCGTCTTCCTTCTCCTCGCCACCCTCCTGCTCCCTCCATTCGCGGCTTCTCCTTCATCCTTTCCTTGCTGTTGGTCCTCCTTCTACATAACCCTCCATGTTCTCGTCTTCCTCCGTCTCGTCACCGTCCTTCTACAGGCTCGTTCAGCTCCGAGGCGGGACAGCCCCAGCCTTCGGCTTCGGCTACCGTCTTAGGCTCAAGGGCCCCCTTCACAGATCGAAGTGATGCTTTGAAAGGGGCGAGGTGCAGGCGGGAGCATGGGGTGGAGAGAAAAGAAGAGGAGAGCAACGATACGTAGGGAGGGGATGGAAGTTAGAGTGAGAGAGAGGTAAAAAGAAGAGCAAGTAAGAACCTATATATGTATATATATATATATATATATATACATATATATATATATACAAGAGAGAGAGAGGAAACAAACAAAAACGGGCAGTGAAAAATGGGAAACGTGGGGAGAGGAAAGTGGCGAAGGGGCACGAGCAGAGGTTGTGGAAGGAGAGGGGGAAGAGGAGGGGCGACAAGGATGGGGGAGGGAGCGAATAGCCAGGAATAGCCTACGGCGAAATTGGGTTGAGCAGATGTGGAACCTATGTCCTGGAGACCGAACTGCCAGGCAAGCTTGCATCTCGCCAGGCCCAAACGACCAGCAATACCCACACACACACACACGAACCCAGAGGAGGGAAGATGAGAATGAGGAGAAGGTTCACATCTGCATGTTATCGCGCGTACGCCCCGGATCCATCGCCAGGCTTGTCGAGATTGAGCACATAAGACGTTGCAGCATCTTGACGATTCACCCTTGTCCCACGCCTGCTGTTGCTGCCAGCTCATCATTCCTCATCTTACCCCGACGCCTCCTCGTCGCCAGGTGGTCGCGCGCCTCCACTTGCTGCCGCAGCTGGCGAGAATAGCCAGCCAGCTAGAGGCCGGCATGGGTGAGAGGGTCGGGGAGGAGAGAAGGAGAGGGAAGAGAGATTGAGAGAGAAAGCGAAAGAGAAAGAGAGAGAGAGAGACGTGGCATGTAGGTTTCAGTCGGGCCTGTCCCTCTACAGGAGGATTCTTTAAACATAGTTAAAAGAAAAGGCCTGGGGACGATTTTTCTAGTATTTTTGATTATTGATGAATATTATTTACGTTGAAAAATCGTCCCAAGTCCGCCTGTAGGGGTACGGTCAAGCATCTGATTAAGAAACTTCCTCCAGAAAAGTTAGGCCGGCGTTTCTTGGCCAACTTGCTGGAAAGCTGTCTCAGTTTCTTGAGCACGCTCGCCCTCCAGCGTCGACGACAGAACCTGGCCCAGGTGAGTTTTAAGAGACTTCCGGGAAGCTGGCCCAGATTTCTTAGGTGACAAGTTCCTTGATCAGATTGTCGGCTGCAGGTGTCAGACATGTCCCGCCCACTGTGGCCCTTGGGCCTCGCCGCAAGAAGGCACGAAAACTGCCGCCCAGCGTCGGCCCCCGGCGGCGTTGGTAGCCGCCCCCTGAGGCCCCTGCGCCCAGCGGAAAGCCCTCGCGTCCTCGGCATCGCTCGGACGCGTGCATATGTTTCAAGAGGGAAAGACACACACAGACACAATTAATCCTCGATTTCCCAGGAAATATGGGAAAACATGGGAAGTGGGGGGGGATACAAAAACCCAGAAAATATACGAAAATATGTGGAATGCTGTTATTTGTGTGTATTTATTTGTGTGTCCCAGGGCCCCTTCAATGTTGTCTCGACGGGGACCATCGAGAGGGGCATCCTGGATCGTCTTGCGGGAAGAAATGCACGCGCGAAGCCGAGAACGAAAACACGGGGAATGGACGCCCGAGCGATGGCGAGCGTTCCCCCGCTGTCCTTGGCATCGCTCGGACGTGTGCGTTTTCATGGCGCCAACATCGCAGAGCGGATCTCGTTCGGAAAACGCTAGGATGGGCCCGGAGGGTCCTGGAGAAGTGCGTTCCGGATCTCGGAGTGAACGTCGTGCGGATTCTGCTGGCCAGGAATGAAGACCAAAAGGAACCCACGCGAAATTCACTTCGTTTTTCGCTCGCCGCTTCGGGCAAAAATCCACGCAGAAATCCGCTGCAGCACGTCTGCAAGGCCAGTGCAATGTGCATATTTTGTCTCGACGGGGACCCCCGAGGAGCATCTTGGACGGGGACCCCCGAGGAGCATCTTGGATCGTTTTGAGGGGAAAAACACGCGCACGAAACCAAGAAAAAAACGGGAAAGGACGCCCGAGCGATGGCGAGCGTCCCCCCGCCGTCTGCGCAAGCGGATTGTTTCTTTTGTATTAGTGCCCTCTTCACCGTTCTGGCGAGCGTGGTCCACTCCGAGGCGATCCTTGTGGCAACTGCTCGACCACGCGGAAGAGTGACCGTTCGCCAGAGTGACCTTTGGTGCGAGCTCATCGGGGTCCACCCGATCGCTGAGCGCGAGGCGATAGCGGCTGCTTGCGCGCTTGGATTTGGCCACCTCGCGCCCCCTTAATCCGTGCCTAGGGTCACTCTTGCGTGTAGCCGAATTTCTGCGAGGATCTGTCTGTGTGTGTGTGTGCGGCATGAGGTGAAAATGAACTCCTTGCTTCCTCTGCTGGCGCGGAGCGATGCGGTGCTACTGACGGAGGCCCATGGCACCGAAGGGGGGCATCTAATCTGGCGGCCGCCCACGGGCCGCTCGGCGTGGTGGTCCGCGGGCGCATCCACAGCGCACGCGGGCGGGGGCATCGTCGTCCAAGACAGATTCCTCGCGCGCTTCGGAGAGCCCCCGCGGTGGTCTGTCGTGTGGCCAGGTCGCGCGGCAATCCTGTCATGCGAGGGTCCGTAGGGGCGTTGGATTTGATCGTGGCTTACTTTCCCACATGCTCCGACGTGCACGAGGCGGACCTGTACGGCGCCCATATGGCGGACCTGCCAGAGCTCCCCTCTTTCCCGGAGCTACGGGCCCACCTCCGCTCAAGGCTCACCAGACACGTGTTCTCTCTGGTCAGGTTCACCCAAAAGAGGGTCCAGCGACAAGGGGGTGGTGCAATATATTGGTTTAGTAGAATTGTGGGGTTGCAACAAATTTTGGGCGTGCAATACATTCGGGGCGCAGATGTATTGCTGGATTCTCGCGCGCAATACACTACTTGCAATACACTGCAATACAATTCTCCGGCGCAATACCTTTGCAATACACGTGCCCCAAAACTATTGCACCACCCCCTGTCAGCTGAACCCCCTTTGGGGTCACCCAAACCTGGTTCGGGCCCTCGCCATTCTCGGGGGGGCTTCAATTGCGTGGTCTCGCCGGCGGATCGACGGGCTGCGGCCACGGCGGAGTGCTCTGGCAGGCGGGACCTCGCAGGAGGAGAACCATTTCCAGAGCGTGCTGGGCAGGCCGTTCGAGCTGCACGACATGCGTTGGCCAAACAGCCTTGCCCTATTTGATTCCTTCTCTGGGCGCGTTTTCTAGACGGCTTCGCGTGTCGGGGTGGTTACTATCAGGGTGGATTTTCTGCCCTCTAATGCACCAGCGGGAGATGACCTACGCTGGGGCTGCTGCCCGGGCACAGCTGGACCGTTTCTATTGCAGCGAGCACCTCCCCGAGCAGTTGGACAGGGACACTACATGCACAGCCTTGGAATGGAAACCCGGCCTCTCTCGGCACTGGGCGATGCTCTTCTCTCGGCGTGCGCCCCAGTGGCTGTCGCAGGAGACGTGCGGTGTCAAGCAAGACGCGGAGAGACACGAGGATTTTCCCCGGCGCACCGCCCTCGCATTTCAGCAGGCGTGCGACGAGACGCCCAACGCCACGGGTTTGCGCTAGCTCCAGCTCCTGAAGCAGTGCATGACTTCGGTGGCTAGACACCTTGGCGCCGACACAGGGGCAACGGGAACCAGCCGTCCAGACGGAGGACCGCCTGGGGCTCACCATGAAGTTCCTATGGGCTGCCGAGGCGGGAGCAATGGGGGAAATCTCTGTATGTTTCCAGCGCTACCCCCTCCTGGCCACCCTCGTGGACAACCCGTACGAGGTCGGAGGCCAGCTCGAGCGACGGCTTCGCCCAGTCCGGGACCATGCTGCGGAACTCGCACGGGGCCGCTCCTTGCAAAAATAGCGGGAGGCCTCAGAGGCAGCCAAGTCTAGAGATCTCACCTGGGCTGCTCAGGCCAAGGCGAGATACAGTCGTCTGCTCTGCTGGTTGGCCCCTGGGCGCGGTGATAGTCTTAAGGCTGTCGTGCTCCCCAGCGACGCGCATGCTACTGCCGCCGAGGACATGGGAGCGGCGTTCAGGTCCCACTGGGCCGAGGTGTATCGTGCCTGGGGCATCGACGAGGCCGTGATAGCCGAGTGGTTTCGAGAAGACCCAGAGAATCAGGCCCTGGCCGAAAGCGGCCAGGGGGAGACCGCGGATAGCACCCGCGCTCCTTCGCATCAGGGTCTCCGCCGGCTTCGGCTTCAACCGCGCCACGTGCGTCAAGCCATTCGCTGCAGAACTTGGCCAGTAAGGGCACGGGCCAGGGCGCGGCGGCCAGGCCAGGGACCCCTGCACCTTGGCGACGAGAAGCGGCGGCCACACGAGCCAGCACCCAAGGCACGAATGCGCCCAAAACGCCGAGGGCAGGCAGGACCACCCGCCAGATGCCTGCGCGCAAGCCCTGGCGAGGCGGCTTCCCCAGCGGCGACAAACCGACGTGCATACAGGGCGCCCGACGTTCACGAGGGCGGACCGCGCCCGGAGTCAACACGGACTCTGGAGCGCCGACGCAGGCACCAGACGGACCGCGGACTGGAAGTGAGGCCGCCCAGGCGCGTGAGCCGCAGCCCCCCGCTGGAGGCAACCAGGCCAAGAGCACTTCTCAGGGAGCCCAGAGTCCGAGCGGCGGAGAGGCATGGAGACCACTGCTGCCACGCCCTATTATTTGTTCTTCCCCGCAAACCGCCGCTACGCGGTTTGCGGGCCACGACAAATATTACCCCTAGGGCTGGACAACCAATTGGCAGTAGGGATCGCAGACCAGCAGCCGTCCTGGGCAAAACCGGCCGTCGGGGCGGACAAATCCAGCCCGTCAAACCGAAAAACAGGCCGAGTCTATGAGTGCTCGCGTGGGCTTACTCGCGCGCGCAGCCGTTGCTTTTCGATATTATACCCTCTGTCGCTGCGCGCAGGGCCGCGACGCCAAAAGGCGTGCGCGTGCGCGTGTGTGCGTGCGCGCGCGCGTGCGCGTGCGCGTGCGTGTGCGCTGGCGCGTGCGCGTGCGCGTGCGCGTGCGCGTGCGTCGGTTACACTCACATCAATGTATGGATTGTGCGCGTGTTGCGTGTAAGTTTTGGTGCCGCGCTTGTCAAACCTTTCCTTCCCTCCGGCTGCTGCTTGTGATGCTCCGTTTCTTCCTCAGCCCTTTCGCCGAGTCGTCCGCGACTGGTGGTGCCATTCCACAGTGCGTTTTTGGTGATGGTAGGGCAATGGCTTTTCGACTCGTTACATACGTAGTGTATTCCCCATGGCTGGGTTTCGAGCCTGCCGGGGGGGCATCGGTTCCTTCTTGACACCGCGAGGGCTACAGCAGCCCTTGCTCGCACAATCGCCCGTTGCTTCGAGGAGCTTTCAAAGATCATGAGCCGTTCCGCCGCCACGCCGCCTATATCATCATCATCATCATCATCATCATCATCATCATCATCATCATCATCATCATCATCACCATCACCATCACCATCACCATCATCATCATCAGCATCAGCAACATCATCATCAGCAGCATCAGCATCGCCATCATCATCATCATCATCACCAACATCATCATCAGCAACATCATCAGCATCATCAGCACCGACATCGCCACCATCATCAACATCACCATCATAATCGCCACCATCATCAGCATCATGCGATAGCATTTCTCCTCGTCAATATCAGCCTCCCTTCCCCCTCCCTCTGCCTCCTCACCCCTCGTCATTCTCCCCCCCCCTTATCCCCCAACGACTACGCACGTGCATGCGCGAGTGTGCGTTCAGCAGCTAGCAAGCCGTATAGTACGGTTGCGTACTTTTCATGCCGATATGCCCATCTGCCCATCTGCCTCTCCCTCCTCCTCCTCCTCCTCCTCCTCCTCCTCCTCCTCCGATATACTGCCGATCCCCCTTCCGATCCTCCGCCTACCCGTCTGCCTCCCCCTCCTCCAGACGACGGCCGCCGTCGCAGAGCAGCCGACCATGCTCCGCGCCGCCAGCCTCCGGGAGACGCTCTGACCGGGCCACGCCGCAGGAGGAGGGCAGAGGAGGAAAAAGAAGGAGAAAAACGATGAGGAAGAGAAAATGAGGAGGAGGAGGAGGAGGAGGAGGAGGAGGAGGAGGAGGGGGAGGAGGAGGAGGGGGAGGAGGAGGATGGGGAGGGGGGGGGAGGATGTGGAAAGTAAAGGGAGGAGGAGAAGGAGGAGGAGGAGGAAGAAGAAGAGGAGGAGGAAGAGGAGGAGGTGGAGGAGGAGGAGGAGGAGGACGAGGCTGCACCATGCGCGATGCGTGGAGTTGGGTCCAGCGGTGACAGGCCCCAGAGGGCAGGGTGGCAGTGGCGGCGTCGGCGCCTTTCGCTTGGCCGAGGTGCAGCTAAGACCAGCTTCGGTGGGTGGGCAAAAAGTGTCCACGCCCATCGCGCCAAGACAAGACTACGACGAAGTGCATCCAACAAAACGACGCCCCCCCCCCCAGGCAGCGCGCGAAAAACAAAATGTGAGCACTTAAACTTTGGGTTTAGGGGGGACAGGGGCGGGACATGCGTTTCCTTAGATGTTATTAAACATTACGTGACGTGGTCTTCGCGCCATAGGTGTGGACATTTGTTGTCCGGCCACCGCTTCCCAACTCTTAGCGCACAGGCGCAGAAGGCCGCTGCGGAGCTTCTCGGCGTGAGCCCGATGCTCGCCGTCCAGGGGACAAGCGGCCTTGTGAGCAAGGTCGCTCGCTGTAGGCCGCGAGAGGTCTACGGTCTGGAACTTTGGGATAGCGTGTCGCTCCGCTGGTTCTGGCCCACCGCGCTTTGGAGCGACACGCTATCCGCTTCGAGGTCCCCGAAGCCCCGAGTTTTTGCTAGCCCCAAAATCGCGCAGCGATTTGTGGGGCAGGAAAATCTTCAGGAAGGCCTTTGTGGGCCTCTCAGCTGCTTTGCCTACTGGCGTCCTGGCCTCTCACAGCCTGGGCGCCTGTGGCGCTGCGGGAATCTCACGGCCGCGCGCTGCGGTGCGGCAGGCGGGTTCTCCTGGCCGTGCGCTGCATTGCAGCAGGTGGTGTTCAAGGCCGTGCGCTGCGGGGCAGCGGGCGGTTCCTCCTTCCGCCCTCCCGCTGGTCGGTTGGTTGAGTGGCGTGCAGGGTGCCCTGTGGGCTCCGCTGCCGCGTTGCGGCCTGGCCGGTTGCTTGGATGGCTGGTCGCCGCGCAGGCTGGATTGGCTCCGAGCGGTGGCGTCGCAGGGGCTGCGCCACGCTGGTCCCGGCACTGCAGCTGTTTCCCAGGGAGCGCGCTGCAGGGCAGGGTCCGTGCCTGGATCGGGCTCGAAACCCGTCCTCTTCCACCCTCGTTGCTTGTGCGTCTGTTGGACGGCGCCCTTGCCACGCTGGGCCCCTGGTGGGTTCCAGTCTGGGCCAGCCTGGCGGCGCCGGGTTATTCATCTCGCCCAATGTTGGCGCGAGGGCGTCGCCCAATTTCACGGTCGAACGGCCGTGCGTAGAAGATTTTCGCCCGAGCCCCCCGCCCCGCAGAGCGGAGCGACACGCCATCCGCTTGCAAGGCATAGCGTGTCGCCGGGGCCGCCGCCGCGACACGCTACGCAAAGGTCCCCGGCCGTAGCGCACAGGCGCAGAAGACCGCAGCGGAGCTTCTCGGCGTGAGCCTGATGCTCATTGCCCAGGGGACAAGCGGTCTTGTGACCAGGGTCGCTGCAGGCCGCCAGAGGCCGATCTGAACCTGCGTTACTGAGTGGGGTGTTCTCCACGTCCGAGCGTTTTCCCCTCCCTCCCTCTTCCCCGTGCGGCCGCTCTCGTCGTTCTCCCCCCCTTTGGCACGCCGGCCAATTCGCCTCTCGGCTGCCCCGAAAAACGGCACGCTGGAGCGGACTGGCTCTGCCTCGCCGCCGACGAAAAAAGCAGTGAGTGCGGTGACGCGCGCGCCGCGCCGGGCCCTTGCGGCGCCATTCTTGGGCGGGCAGCCCCTGGGGGGCAGCGCTTGCCAGGGCGGGTGCTGCGGCGTCCTGGGGCCATGGCGCCCGCCGCGCGAGTGCGAGAGGAGGATGGTGCTGGGCTGGGATGGCCCGGGTGCGGTTTCGTCAGGCCGTGAGGGTGGATGCGGCGTATAGCAACAGTGGCGCGATGGTGCTCTGGAGAGTACCTGGGCCGAGACGGAGAAGGGGGGGGAGGGAAAGAGAGAGAGAGAGAGAGAGAAAGAGGGAGAGAGAGAGAGAGAGTGAGAGAGAGAGAGAAGCTGACAAAGAACGATTTCAGTGGTCGCTTGTAGCGTCCAGCCCGGGTTCGGACACCTGGGGGGGGGGAGGAAGGGAAATGTCCCCCCCAGGTTCTGACCCGGGGGGGGCGACGACGACGGCGTCGTGCTCGTCGTCGTCGTCGTCAGCGTCGGCGTCGACGTCGGCGTCGCGCTCGGCGTCGTTGTCGGCATCGGCGTCGTCGGCGTCAGGCTTGGCGTCGTACTCGGCGTCGGCGTCGTCGTCGGCGTCGGCGTCGGCATCGGCATCGTGCTCGTGGTCGGAGTCGGCGTCGTCGTCGGCGTCGGCGTCGGCGTCGGCGGCATGCTCGGCGTCGTGCTCGGCGTCGTGCTCTTCGTTGGCGTCGGCGTCGTCGTCGTCGGTGGCGTCGGCGTCAGCGTCGTCGTCGTGCTCGGTGTCGCCAGCATCGTGCTCGGCGTCGTCGTCGGCGTCGGCGACAGCGTTGTCGTCAGCATCGTACTCATCGTCGGCGCGTCCTCGTCGTCGTTGTTGTCTTCGCTGTCGGCGCCGCAGCTGTCGTGTCGTCGTCGTCGTCGCCGTCGTCGTCGTCGTCGTCGTCGCCGCCTTCTTCCCCCCCCCTGGGTTTCCGGGGAGGGGTGGGCTAGCATTGTTTCCGAGTAAGCGCCTGCGAAACTCGCTCTCACGAAACAGAAGGAGGGGGGGAGGGAGAGAGTCAAAGGGAGGCAGGGAGAGGGAGAAAGGGAGGTAGGCAGGGCGAGGGGGAGAGTGGTGGTGGGACGCAGACATGAGTAACGGGTGCCGTTTGGAGTCGTTGGAGGGTTTCTCCGAAGTGTTTAGGCGACCCGTCCTCCTCCTCTCCTCCTCCTCCTCCTCCTCCTCCTCCTCCTCCTCCACCTCCTCCTCCTCCTCCTCCTCCTCCTCCTCCCCCTCCTCCTGAAGCCGCGGCGAAGCTGAGGACGCCTGGCCACGACGAGCGCCGCTGATGTTCAGCAGCTCGCTTGGTCTCTCGCCGCCGCCTTGTCTTCCTCCAGCTGGCGGCGGTTCGCCCAAGCGGTTCGCGGGACAGAGTGGGCGGGCAGGGGGGGGCGCGAAGGCAGCGGAGTGGAGAAGAGAGGGCTGGGGCCCAAGAAGCGGGATGCTCCCAGGTATATTCCTTCTCCGCCGAGGCCTCTGCATCCGGAGGACTCCGGGAGGGGACCGGGGGGGTCCTCGGAAGCTGGAGTCGGAGCTGGATCGTCGGTGCCCGGGTCGGAGTCCCGAGGGCCCACGTCGGGGTCCTTGCCGAGCCCGTGGAGCTCTGCGTCGGCCGTCGGAGGCCTGCACAGCGTGCACTGCTGCTTCGCCTCGCGGGTGGCCCCGAAGCAGCACGCAGAAGGCTGACGTTTCTAGTGCGTCCGGGGATTGGAAATGAGCGGCTTCAGAAATGGCATCCTCTCCGAACCACGGGGTCTGCATGGTTGTCTCCTTTTTGCCTCCTGTCTGTCTCGGTGTTGGAGCCTGTCGGAGCTGGGGCAAAATCGGGAGCAAGTTGGAAGTCGGGGCCGGTAGAACTCACATAGATATCCATCACTGCTTCGTGCAGCAATTTGGCATCCTGCGGCGTATCATGATCCTCGTCACAGTCGTTGGGATCTGAATCCAGGCCATTCAGGCATGCACTAGCCACAGAAGTGTATCGGCACAACTGTGTAGGGCACGTCCTGCTGCTGTTGGTGCGGAACTCAGCTTTTTCTCCCAGCACGGTCGGATGCGTGCAAGGTGTGTGATGGCATCGTCCCTTCTTTGGGGTACTCAGGAGGAGCTTCCGAGGCACTGGAGCCCGAGACCACATATACGTGTGGGAGCCCTTCCGATAATAGTACGTGTATGGCGTCGCCATGAGGACCTCCAGTGGTTCCCACTGGAAGCTGGAGGGCGCTTTGGGCTGCCAGGTTGCTGGCATGGGATGTTCGATCCAGCCCGAGGTCCCCACTTTGAGATGGCATCCTAGTAGATGGGTGAGGCTCCACAGTAGTTGGTGGCCAACGGCACTCCCCAAACCAATCATGCGTCTTCAGCGGCGGTGGGGGCCATCCTGCCATTCGGCGGCGCTGCACGTCTCGCATGGGCTCCCTGCCCACCTCCCGTGTTCCACACTCGCCTTGAAAAGATGTGATCCTCCCAAGTCTGGATGGTATTTTGATGTGTGAGATCTCCCAGCTGGGCAGATATGGCAATGTGTACGCTGAGCATGATGATGTGGTACGCCACTCCATGGCGCTCACTCTCAATCCATGCCTTGATGTCGCCTTCACGCTGGCGGCCAGAGAAGATTATCAGAACAAAGATCTCGCGTCAATGAATGCGGATGGGGATGAGGGAACCTGCAGCTCTTCCGGGATCGATCGAAGAGATCGGCGTACTTAGTGCAAGTTTCAGTAGAGAAATCCTTTCCCGACTCACGCAGCATATATCGTGCCTCCTCATCGGTATAGCGCGAGAAAACGATCATCGAGGAGGGATCGAGCCCACCTGTTGGGAGCTCTGGTCTGGCAGGGTAGGCAGCTCTCCATCTGCCCAGTCCTGCTCTGCGCTGCTCTGCGAGACCTCATCCGCCTCTTGTAGTTTGAGCTCCTCTGCTCGTTCACTGGTAACTCTAGTTCCGTGTGTGTAGCAGGCACAGTAACACCTGGGTGCGTCAAATGCAAGATGATCTCGCAGCAAATGGCAAGCAAAGAAACTAGTAGAGCATGCCGTGCATATGCTACCATCCCCCATAAATCATGATACTGTGTGCACCGCGCTGCAGTGTATCCGAATGAT